GGAGTGTCTGAGGTGTGAATGTGTCAGGTTCAATGGAACTTCTCTCTCTCTCTCTTTTTTTTTTTTTTTTTGAGACAGGATCTCCCCATTGACCATTGAGGAGACTTAAATACAGGCTAAAGTACAACATGGCATTCACGTAGGAAGAACTAGGAAATGTAGACTTCTTGTGTAAAGAAAGTAGTGCGCTGCGTGTCCTCCATCCTCACAAAGTTCCACGTGTCCAGTCAGAGAGCACATATGTTCCAGCACCTTTCCGGCTATCCCAGCTGCCCAAACCCTCTGCTCAAGGTGGATCTGTTTGCTAGGGTGATTTTTTTTTTTCTTTTTAGGCAAAACTGAAATAGCCAGGGAATACTTGCTCCACGTATTGTTGAATCCACTAAATACAAGCCTCGAGCAACCAGAGAACCAGACTGGTAAGCAACGTGCATTAGTCTGTATGGCTAGTTTTATGCTTGTTTTTTTGTTTTATTTCTTCTCCTGTCAACAAATAACAGACTGACGCCAACATAGCTTTGGCTATGGAACTGGGCAGGTCTTATCCAACCGAGTCACCATAAATACCTGGAGTGTGTTTTATGCTTCTCGCCGGGCGTGGTGGCACACGCCTGTATTCCCAGCACTTGGGAGGCTGAGGCAGGAGGATCGTTGCAAGTTTGAGGCCAGCCTGGGCTACAAAGTGAGCTCAAAGCCAGCCTGAACTGCATTGCGAGACCCTGTCTCAAAAAGACAGAGAAAAAAAAAAAAAAAAAAAAAAAAAAAAAAAGTTTTATGCTTCCCAAGTATGTGGAGTGACTCAGAAAGTACTTGCAATTTGAGCAGTCGCGTTTTCCACTGCTGAGGTAACAGGTGGTGTATTCATTATAAGTCAACACCCTGAGGTGGCAGTCGCCAGGGACCAAATGACATTCACCCCTTTGACACATATTTTGTGAATACCTACTATGTTTCAGAACTTCACCCCAAAAGAACTCATATGTAGTATTTTGCTTTTTCTGTACGCGTTGCCTTTTTGGTGGTTTCTTCTAAGGCTGGAACCGGCAGGAGTTTCTTAGCTCTGCGTTTTTCAAGTGTGTCTTTCCTATGAACTAACACTAGAGGGCGCCCAATCGCCAGTTTCAAATTTGAGCCCCGGCCCTGGTGCGCTTGTGGGAGACCGTTTTACTCTTTTTTTTTGTTTTGTTTCGTTTTTGGTCTTTTTGAGACAGGGTCTCCCTGTGCAGTTCAGGCTGGCCTTGAGTCACTTTGTAGCCCAGGCTGATCTCGAACTCGCAACGATCCTCCTGCCTCAGCCTCCTGAGTGCTGGGATTACAGGCTTGCGCCACCGTTGTACTCTTTTCAGTAAGGAGGAGTTGCACCACGCCACCCTCCTCCCAGGGCTGCATCAAAAAGGATGCGCACCCCAGTGAGGACCAGCTAAGTTTCCATCGAGACTTTCTTCCATAAAAGCTTCTGAAGTGTCCCTGCTAACAGTTAGTAGCTTCTAGTAACCGTACCTCCCGCATATCCCATCCCATCCGATTGTTTCGCCTCGCATCCAGGTCTAATTCCTTGGGGCCCGAAAGGAGAATCTTCAAAGGACTGACTGGCTCCGGGCGGCGAAACCACACAGGCTTTCCCGGCAGCCCAGCCCCGCCGCTCTTGCTTTCTGTTTGGGCTAATGCGGCCTTGCCTCCACACAAACAGGTCTTATCTCTCATCTGGCCCAGAGGATCAGACTTCCTCTGATTTGGTGGTTTACAATCTGTTAACCTCCGACTTCTCCTAACTTCTCTGTTTCTTGTCTTCTGTTCTCCTTTTGTTCCTCTTCAGCGCAACCCATACTCACTTTTCTCTGCCCCAAGAGGGAGAAGCATTTCTTCAGTGCTGAGTCTGCGTCGGTCACTTTTTATGTCACTTGCACTGAGCTGACGTGAATGTCCCCATTTTATAGATTAATACACTGAGGTTCAGGATTAAGTCACCTGCCAAAGATTGTGTGCCTTGAAAGTAGTTGAGCTAGGTAGGATTTTGTTCTAAAGTTTCCTGATTGTCATCTCTTGTATTCCATCCTGTTTACTCAGACTTTTATATTTCTCTCTCTTTTTTTTTGGGACAGGATCTCCCCAGTTCAAGCTGGCTTTGAACTTACTATGTAGCCGAGGCTAGCTTCAAACCCACAGCAGTCCTCCTGCCTCAGCCTCCCAAGTGCTGGGATTACAGGAATGTGCCACCACGACCGGCTCGTATTTTTTAACAGTGTCATCAGTGTTTCCAGACATATTTTTGTTGCATTCCTTGCTTTTATCATAGGAAAATTTATAAAAATTTGTAAGTCATAAAATTAGCTAAAGACATTATAAACATGACATTGTCCTTCCTATACCTCAGAATTAAAAAGAAACCATGCTGAGTGTGGTGGAACATGCCTGCCATCCCAGCACTTGGGAGGCTGAGGCAGGAAGATCACTGTGAGTTCAAGTACATAGTGAGTTCAAGGTCAGTTGGGGCTACAAACCAAGACCCCATCTCAAAACAACAAAAAGAAGAAGGAAAGAGACCAGGACTCCACAGCCTGGGATGGGAGTAGCTTTTGTCATGCAGGAAGACAGGTCCCTGTTCAGCTCTTGCGTTATGAGGTTACACTTTAGGAGTTCCTCCAGAGTGGCTAATGCATAAGATTATTTGGCATTAAGAAAGCTTCCTAAAAACCCAAAGTCCCTCAGAATCACTGTTAATGATGGGTATGGCTTTAATATTTCAAGCTTTTCCTGGTACCGGGAATCGAACTCACGACGTCAGGCTTGCCAGGCAGGCGCTGTGCCGCTGAGCTAAATCCCCAGCGCCTTTCAAGCTTTTCAAAGTGTGGGATTTCTCCCTGTGTTACATGGTAAAGCAACTGAACATTGAACACTGAAGAGACCCATCCAATAGTCTGTAATATCTATATTCCAATGCAGTCCTTAAAGGAGAAACAGTTACAGAAATTTCTGGGAGTCAGGCACATGCCTGTAATCTTAGCACTCAGGAGGCTGAGGCAGGAGGATCACCATGAGTTCAAGGCAATCCTGGGCTACATAAATGAATTCAAGGTCAGCTGTACTACATAGTGAGACCCTGTCTCAAAAAACAAAAAAAATTCTGGAATAGTGGCCTTCTGGTATTTGTTATGAGTAGCAATTTAAAAAAGTTTTCATAGAGCTATGGCTATATGAGATATAATTCATATACCATACAATCAACCTAGTCAAAGTTCAATCATTTTTAGTTTATTCAAAGATACGTGTGACCAACACTGCAGCCCATTTTAGGACATTTTAATCATGTAAAGAAACTTTATATCCTTTAGCTACCAGTCTCGTATTCCCACGTATTTGTTCCTCCAGCCCTCTGTGACCACTAAGCTCCCTATCCCGGGATTTCATGTGAATGAAATCCTGCAGAGTGGCATCGCTCCTAGCTTCTTTCCCTTGACACAAAAACCTGCCCGTGCTGTGGCATGCGCTGGTATCCCACTCCTTTGTGTGTGTGGCCAAACAACATTGTATTGTATCAGTGCGTGTCCTGTCATTCACCCACTTAACTGTTGGCAGACATTTGGGTTGCTGTCCCGCTTTCGGACATGGTGCATAATGCTGCTGTGAGCATTCAGGTACGAGCTGTTGTATAACATACATTTTCATTTCTCTGAGATGCCTGTATTATAAGGCCGGGCGTGGTGGCGCACGCCTGTAATCCCAGCACTTGGGAAGCTGAGGCAGGAGGATTGCTGTGAGTTCAAGGCCAGCCTGGGCTACAAAGTGAGTTTAAGGTCAGCCTGAGCTGCATAGTGAGACCCTGTCTCAAAAAGACCAAAAAAAAAAAAAAATCTATATCTATATCTATATCATCTATATCTATATCTATATCTATCTATCTATCTATCTATCTATCTCATATACTTCATCATCCTGAGGAGTGGAATTTTGGGTCATGGGGTAACTCTGTGTTTCAGTATTTGTAATGCTGGTTTTAAGAACTGTGGCCTTCTGATCGTCAGTGTGTGGGTGCTCGCTTCTCCAGGTCTCCAACCATCTTTGCCAACTGACTTTTGGTTTCTAGCCACCCTACCTCATGCGGAGAAGACTTATTCTCGCTTCTTCTTTTAAAAAGTGGGATTTATATCCCATAGATGTTTATGTTTATTTCAGCTACCAGTTAAGTAGCTATCTTCTAGGCGCTGGCCCGCCTCTGGTTCAAGGCACCATACCTGCTGTCCACACCTTGCAGGGCAGGGAGACAGAAAATGAGACGCACTCAAAAATACAAATATTCTAGTAGAGCTATGGCTAAAACTCTGCAAAGGCCCAAAGCAGGGACTGGGGATTCAGCTCAGCAGCACAGCACCTGCCTGGCAAGGGCAAGCTCGTGAGTTCAATTCCTGGTAACGGAAAAAAAAAAAGAAAAACAAACAAAAAAGCTCAAAGCAGCAAGTGACTCGCTTGAGATCCATTCAGTCCAAACAGATTGCAATTCAAGCGGCTAAATAGGCAGGATGAAAATATTTAATATCAGCTTCATTAAAAACTTTCTCAATGAAACAGCAACATTCAGGGTCATGGTCAGTGAACCCACTTATATCTAGAAAATTGTCCTTGTTTTCAGAATGGCCATTGAGCTCCAACCTTATAGTATGAAAGGTGTACAATTTTTTTTTTTTTTTTTTGTCTTTTTAAGACAAGGACTCGCTATGCAATTCAGGCTGGCCTTGAGCTCACTTTGTAGCCCAGGCTGGCCTCAAACTCACAATGATCGTCCTGCCTCGGCCTCTGGATGCTAGGATTACAGGTGTGCACCATCACACCTGGCTTTTTTTTCTTTTTTTGGTACTGGGAATCAAACTCAGGACCTCATCCTGGCCAGGCAGGTGCTTGTGCCACTGAGCTCTATCCCCAGCTGCAAATTTTTGTCTGTTGTCTAGTGTTAAACTAATTTGTGTTGTATTTTGGTGAGCACAGAGAAGACCTGATGACTCTGGGAACCCAGGTACAGAAAATGAATTTAGTTGCTGCCTAGGTCATTAGCGACCCCATTTCCTGGGTTTTGCTTTTCGCTCTTCCCAGACCAAATGGCTTCCGTTTTTGTTCACCACCCCGCTGTCCTGCCTCACAGATTTCCCCTCCCTGTGGGGTCCAGGATGTGTCCCAGAACTTCAGGCTGCCCTGGAGAAGGTCTCCAGCCCGGCTGTCCCTGCTGGCTCAGATGCAGTTAAAAGTACCAGGCCCTCTGTTGATTCTAGGAACTTTTCTTGACTCCCTTTCTGCCCTTGGAGTGAAATAAACATGGAGTCTAGGTCCTTTTGCAGCTGTGCAGGCCAGGGTTCATTGCCTGGAGCTGTCAGAGAATAGAAAACACCTGCTTTAATTCAGCAGCAAATGTCCCCCTCTTTGCCAGAGTGTGGGACAGTTCAGGTCCTGTGGCTTCTGTCCATCTCTCCTGCTTTTGGACACCTATTTTTATATGGTGGTGTAAATATCTGCAGAACAACGAGACTTAATATGCCCTCTTGTGCTTGGCTTTAGACTTCTCCTGGATGATTCCTGCCTCATGACAGAGTAGAAGCCCGAGGTCATGTAAGAGGGGTGAGTGAGGGAAACAGGTGCTTCTGAGCGTCCCCACACTTAAAGCAACACTGCGGGAAGCTCTCTGTGGGGCCCTTGGGGCAGCCACCTCTTGCAGATGAAAAGATTACTTGGGAAACGACCAAGGGGTGCATTTATTCCTCCTGTGTGCACCTGGTCAGAGGAGGATTTGGTTCACGTATGTCTTGGTCAGTCCCCATGGTGGTAATGGTGGACAGTTGTTTGTCCTCTGCTGTGTTCTGTCCCTCTCTGCAGGGCGCCTTGCCAATGGCTTTGACTTCGGACGTAAGAGCTTCCAGGATTTCACCCACACAGTGTCCATGTGGACGGGCCAAGGGAGGACTTGGCAATTCAGACTTGGCAGGTAGAGGGGGTAGAGGGAGAGAGCTGTGTAAAAAAATAGACACGCAGAGAGCTCTGTAACTGGCAGCTCTGTCAGAAAGGGGAACCAGAGCCTACTTCTGAGAGTCAGGCCTCCGTGAGGTGGAAAGGGGTTGGGGCAGGCCCCAGAGCACTCTGGGATGACTTGGTGTGGTTTGAGTGGAGAAAGCTCTTGGTAAAAATATCGTATCTGCAGCTCCCTTTCCTGGTACCTGAGACTCTAGCCAAGCCACTGCTTGTGCTTATGCATGGTGTGTGTGTGTGTGTGTGTGTGTGTTTTCCTTGTAATGGTTTTGGGGTATCCTACACTTCACTCACAGATGCAAGTACCTGGGAGGAACCTATCAGCCATTTCAGAGCATGATCGGAGGGAAAAGGTGAGGTTAGCAGGAGGGAATGTCGCAGAAGCCCTTGGTAAAGATGAATGTGGAATGCACAGAGAGAGGGAAAACGTGTGTGTGTGTGTATGTGTGTGTGTGTGTGTGTGTTCAAGAGAATCTCAATCCAGGTCACCATTCCTCCAGGGAAAGAAAGTTACCCCCACATGGGGCTGGAGGTCGGACGGTCAGGGCTTCTCGTGAGGCAAGCCCATTCCACACACCCGCAGGCCCAGCGATGCGCTGGCCTCCAGCCCTTAGCTGTGACTCCACACTTCCACAGGCAGGTGGAGCTGACTGGTGTCCACTTTCAGGAACCTCGTCCTGCCTTGCACCTGTGTCCCTCAGCCCAGCCAGCTGGTCACCAAGTCCCATACAGTCTGCCTTCCCAGAGATCACTGATTCTACCCTAGATCTTCACCCTCAGGCCGCAGCCTTTGAGTGGGTCCCCAGGCCTCCAGCCCAGGCTCCTCCAATCCAGGGTCATGCTGCTGCTGAAAGGACCTTTCCAGAAAGGCGAGTCCTTTTCTTTTTCTTTCTTTCTTTTTTTTTTTTTTTTTTTTTTTTTTTTTTGAGACAGGGTCTTGCTATGCAGTTCGGGCTGACCTTGTGCTCACTTTGTAGCCCAGGCTGGTCTCGAACTTGCAAGGATCCTCCTGCCTCAGTCTCCCGAGTGCTGGGATTACAGGCGTGCGCCACGGCGCCCAGCTCTGCCAATCCTTTTCATTTTCACCCCTAGTTTTAAACCTTCTGGTGTTGGCTGATTTTCTCCTGGGGAAAATGCTACATTTCTCTATTCTTGCACTTCCTTTCTATCTTTCTAGTTTTGTCTATTTTACCCATCCCCCCTGCAATGGCTTCCTTTCCAGGGGGATTCCCTGAAATCACAGGCCTGCTCCCACTTCTCTGTAAGTGCTGCCATTTCTGTGGGGGCATTCTTCTCTCCCTCTTCCAGGTCACTGGGAACTCAGGGCAGGCATCCCCCCTTCTAGGGTACAGCCCTGACCTTCTGGTCTGTTTGATGCTCCTCATCCAGCCCCTACGGTGCCTGATATGTTCCACTTCCCCCATTTTTTTCAAATATAACCCTTTTAAAGCTGGGGATTGTCTTAGGTTTCTTTGTATCCCAAGACTTCCTAGAAGGAAATCTACAAATATTTGCTGTATGAATTAACTGTTGCTAGGTTGTCATTTTAATTTGGAAGGCCTTTCACCCCCGGGCTTATTTTTAAGATCTCCCGCAGCAAGGCCCAAATTAAATGTGTTTTTCTCCAAGAAGCCTGTCCTTCCTCCAACGTTAGAACTACTCCCACCCTCCACTGGGATCCTCTGACATACATCATTTCGTTGTTTTGTATTAATGTATGCAGACCTCGATACCTCGGCACCTTGCAGACCCAAAGGAGTGAGAGCATCCAACCACTCCAGGATGCAGCCGCTGGGACTGTGGGTACCCGGCCGGGAGGAGAAGACCGCTGGGAGCCTGCCTTTCATTTCTAAGTCACACCAAGCAGTGGCTCTGCTGGCTGGTAGGGCTGGGCCTACTATCTTTATTCTCTCCAGATGGGTGAAAATGGCGTTTTTGAGGGTTGCTTCTGGGTCTGGTTTATTTTTATTCCGCCACCTGTGCCTCGCACAATGCCTTCCTCGGAGAAGGCCTGCAGTGGACGAATGAATGAATGAATAAAGTGGGAAGCAGCAAGCATTGTTTCTACTTGGCTCCGTCATGGAACGGGAGGTTTTCTAGGCCGGTCTTAGGAGCATCTCTCTTACCTATAATTTTTGGGGGTGGTGGTGTGATGTGTACTTTGAGACATTATGATGGGAGTAAGAAGCCCTTTGCCTATATCCCCCAAGGTGAGAGAAAGCCAGGGAGCACTTTTGATGCCCCATTTTCTTCAAAAGAATTCCTTTAAAAAAAAAAAGAAAGAAAGGATTCCTCTTGGCTCGGTGTTTAGGACACACCAGAGTTGGTTCTAGCTCTCGAGGAGCCAGTCACGACCAGGCAGCTGCAGAGGCCACGACTGGTGGTGCTGTGGGTGGGTGGGGGGATCGAGGGTGGGCTTGCTTCTGTCTGTAATATCCACAGGACCCAAACTCCTCCAGCTCTCAGAGTTCCGTAAGATCATTGATTTTGCATAGCTTCTGTGACCCTCATCTTCTTTCAAATGAACCCATTGGTGGTTTGAAAGGCCCGTGGCTCCTTTGACCCTCACCCCATATTTAGTTATGCTGGAATGATGGGTATTTCCTAGGCAACTGCAACTTCTCTGCTTCTGTGCAGGCATCTTCTCATAGTGCTGACTTTGTCTGCTGAAGCAGCCTCTGAACTTTTCAGGAGTAAATAGAGATGATGTCCCTTGCAGTTTAGGTTCTTGGGTCCCTTGTTGCATCCTAAGTACTGTTGCTCTTGAGGGTGGTATTCTACACATACTTGAGCAGGGCCAAGGAGTTTTGCTCATGATGTCAAGACTGAATTAGAGAAAGCTACACAGGATGGGTTAACGTGATTAAGAATACTCCCTTTCCACTTTTTTCCCTGATTGCATACTGTCTAGTGAAATGTTGTATGATTAAAAATGTAATCCTAGTCAGCATGTGCAATTTAAAATTTCCTAATAGCCACATTAAAAAGTAAAAAGAAATAAATGAAATTAGTTTTAATAACATTTTATTTAGCCCCATAAATTTAACATAGCACTTCAACGTATGATCAATTAAAAAATTATTAATGAGTTATTTTACCTTCTTATTTGTGCTAAGCCTATGAAATCTGGTGCATATTTTACACTTACAGCATGTCTCAGAACTAGCTAAATTTCAAATGCTCAGCAGCCACCTGCAATTTATGGCTCCTACATTGAACAGTGAAGCTTAGTACTATCCAGGTGAGGTGGAGGAGTGATTATTGTGAGTCTACACTACCCTCCAAGTTAAACTGCCCCACCCAGTAAGCCAAGACAAAAAAGTTGGGGTACAAGGGAGTGTATTCAAATATCTGAGTATCGATAAAGCTTTGGAAACGTGATTTTATTATGTTTTAATGGACAATTTCCCTTTTCTTTCTTTCTTTTTTTTTTTTTTTTTGAGTACTGGGAATCAAACTCAGGACCTTATGTTTGCCAGGTAGGCGCTGTGCTGCTGAGATATACCCCCGGCCCTCCATTTTTCTTTTTTTTTTTTTTTTTTTTTTCCTTTTTATGTGCTAGAGATTGAACCCAGGGTCTCATGTATGCTAAGCACAGACTCTATCACCAGGCCGGATTTTAGGTAAATTAGGAATTATAGTGTTCTCTGTATAAAGATCTTAACACAATAGAAGATGTATACAGGCTTAGGGTATCTTGTTTTCTTTCATATGTAATATAAAGTTATTTTTTCTTTTTTCTCACATTAAATTGTCAGCCTCACCCAAGGCAGACTCTACATTTCCTACTTTCTTTCTCAGCCTGTGTATGTGAAAATGTTGTCTTTCAATCGCTGTACTTTGGGAGTCTCTGAGCGTTGCTGGGGGTCCTGACTGACACTTCTCACTGGCTGTCTCGTGTCAGAGTGTGCTCGGAGAGTCTGGGCCTCAGATGGCAGGCCCAGAGCAGGCAAAGTAGAAGCTCTGGAAGGGGCCTTCAAACTTCAGTTTTTAAAAAGGCGATAACTTTCTCAAACTGTAACCTCTGCCGAGAGGCAACACATGGAATTTACAAAGAAAATGATAGAAACTTGACTCTGATACTAAGGGGGTAGAAAGGGTTAAAAATTTCACGTCTGTTACCAACGTACCGACTGGGCCTCTTTCTGCTTATCTGTATCCCTAGTAATGTGTGCCTTGAACCCTGAAAGTTCTGGGGTATTTTATTTTGTTTTGTTTTATCATAGCATTGCCTCGAGCGAGAGGAGCGAAAGAAGTGAGAGGGCAGAGCCGGGAAGAACTAACCGGCGGTTTGCGCCTCCTTCCCACCCCTCCCCCACGGTCTTAGCTATATGACCTGATTAAAGCGCTTTGGGATCTGGCCAGACTTCTATATGCTAACGAGGCTCCGGCCCTCTCGGTGGCTGAGAGCGATTTCCTCCACTCGGAGCTTCCCGATGCCCGGTGCACACCAGACTTCGCAGAAGTCTCTCAATTTCGTCAAGGGCTCGCTAGGGAAGATTCGCGCGGACTCGAAGCAGACGCAGGCTCTCTGGTTGCCTCGGGCCACGTCGGATTATTCATTAGCAAATTCTTTTCACCTTCTATCTAAGTAGTGAAAGGTGACGCCGGAATCTCGGGTGCCACTCCCCGAACGGGACTCGGGCGACACCCAGTCCAGGTTCTACAACTTCTGCCTCGCTTTCCGAGGAGCAAAACAGCGTTGCCAAAAGTCGCCTTAAATCCTCCCCGCTCCTAAACCTAAAGGTCAGAGCGCCAGGCTCCGGCCAGCCCTCCAGCCCGCCGCAGCCTGGCCCCTTCGGAAGTTCCTGGGGAGGGTGGGGAGCACAGGCGGCGGCGGGGGGGACCGCGCGGAGTGACCACCGGGAATTACGTAACGACGGCCCTGGCTGCCGAGAGCGCGAGCTGACATTGAGACAGCCCAGGGGGAGGGGAGCTGCTGTCCTGGAGTCGCCAGGAACAGAGGCGGCAGTTCCAAGAACCGAGAGAGGAAGGCGGCGGAGATAAAGAAAACACTTCGGGAACAAGAACATTAGCAAGCCGCGGGACCCGCAGCATTAACAGTCGGAGGCACACGTGTAGCAATTTGTCGGGAGAAACGGCAACCTTCCAACTTTTGCTTGACCCTTCGCGGGATTAAAAACCGTGATACGCGAAGCCCAAAGCTAATGAATGGAATCCAGTGGTGTGTCAGCAGTATGCAGATATTGCTGTCCTGGAGCGCAAACTCTCTGCAGTTATTTGGAAGAGTCGGGGCTGAAACCCAAGCTAGAATGCTCTCCCGTGCGTTTCCACTTGTCCCCTTCGGAAAAGGAGCTGCTACCGAGGTACTGCCGCTTTAAGACCTGCTCGCTGTCGGGCTCTACAAAAGGGAGTGACCTCTGGGCTTTGACAGCTCCCCTAATAACTACCACCGCGCAGGCCCCGCCCACCTGGCGACCAGCCGCGCCGATTGGTCGGCGGGCCGGTATCCCGTGCTCTGATTGGCCTGCCGCTTCCCCTGAGCGAACCTTTAGAACTCTGAGACAGACAATATTCTGTTACATTGTAGCAAAATGGCGACTGTCATTCACAACCCCCTGAAAGCGTAAGTAAGACTAAAAAATGTACATATTCCGCGTGGTTTCAATATAAAAAAAGGCGCCTTCTGCGTGCCGAGCGCCGCCAATGCACGGCGCTCGCAGGCGCCTCCAGCTGCGGCGGGGCTTCTCTCTTTTCTTTCTGCTCTTACTTCTTCATCTTCTTTTTTTCTCCCAGTGCGCAGAAATGTCAGGAGATGCAATTAACAAAAAGAAAATTGTTACGTTTGTGTTCTGCTTAATTGGCCGACCAAGACGCAAAGACACGGGGGTGGAGAGGGAGAAAGAGAGGTTAGCAGCAGGGTGGCCGGCGCTCCCGCGCTCCGCTCGGGGGTTCTGGGAAGCTCGGGGACAGCACGGTCCCCCGGGTCCCCCGGCTCTCGGGTCTGCGAGCGGCGCGCGGGGGCCGCCGAGCGGGGCCGCAGTTCCGGGCAGGGGCCGCCCGGGCGCACTCGGCTGAGCCGGGCGCCCCTGGAGGCCGGAGCCCCCACCCGGGGACTCGGCGTGCCGGGGCGAGCGGACCGGCCGCGGAGGCTCCGGAGTTTGCAGGGCGCTCTCCGCCTCCCGATCTCTCGTGGGGAGTTTGCGTAAACCTTCCGGAGTTGGGAGACCGCGGGCCCCAGGAGCCCAGGTGGTGGCCCCGGGCTCTTCTGCCTCGGCAGCTCCAGATTTTGAATGCGCTCCGGGCGGTCTCCGGTGTGTCTGCGTAATTGTGGGCGAACTGGCTGGAGTAAATTAATGACGCGGGTTAACTTGGGGTTGCTTTGGAGGCGAGGAAGCTGCAGGTCTGATGAATGGTATGCTTGCGTCCGCTGGGTGGAGAGCCGAGGCGGGCGAGCGGGCGGCTTGGGCTCCCGGTCCGAGCGAGGGGCAGGTGCCTCTGGCCGCCTCGGGGAGACTTTGAGCGGACGCCCAGATCCGGGACGAGGGAGGCGGGCTGGGCGAGGACTCGCGGGGGCCAGTCCCGGTCCTGCAGCCAATTCCCGCCCGCCTTCCTCCTCCTTTTCATCCTGGCTCCCTTCCTTCCTCCCTTCCTTCCCCCCTCCCTTCCTTCCTTCCTCCCTTCCTTCCTTCCTTCCTTCCTTCCTTCCTTCCTTCCTTCCTTCCTTCCTTCCTTCCAGCCGGTGGAACTGTTCAGCCTCCAAGCCCGCTCGCGATCGCCGAGCCGGGGGTGGCCTCGGAAAACTAATATCGCTCAAAAGGGGTGCCGTTGGCAGAGATGTTGGCAGAGGTTGGCTCCTCGCTATGGCCGCGCGACGTGGGCTCTGGGTCAGCGCCCCTGGACCAGGACTTCCCTGCCGGGATGGAAGCCCCGGCGAAGGGAGGGGGAGGTGCGGATGGGCGTTTGGTGCGGAATCCTCCTCGGTGCGTGGCTTCGGTCGACCTGGTTCTCTCAACTCTGGGCAGCCACTTCCTAACCCGGGGCTCCTCTCGGAGTTGCAGACCGGGCTCGCAGCGGGCGGCCGCAGGGCTGCGGTCAGGGGCAGCTGCTCACGCAAAGGAACGCACAGGGACGTTCGGAGGTGTTCGCACCGGTCGGTCTCCCATCAGCAATAAGGAACACGGGTACGCGCTGTACGTTGCCGTGCAGAGGACCCTGGAAGCCGAGGCTGCTCGGAGAGGCGCTCTCGGCTTCACTCCACATTCGAAAGCCCACATCCACAGCGCTTGAGCGCCGCAGCGTTTCACTCAGGGGGAAGAAGAAATGTTTCACGGCAGAATAAATGGGCGTAACTTCGCCGCATCCTCGCTCAGGGCCGCTCGCGCGGGCACCCCGCTGGTGCCGTGAGTTAACCCCCGAACCCGCAGCTGATTCGCAATTTCCCCATTTCCAGCTGAAGTCACGTAGCTCGGCTGATGCCACCTGGTAAACTCCAGTGAAAGAGGTTTATTTTACATGCGCGCTGGGTTTCCTGCTGGGAACGCCACCCCCTTGTTACTGGGCAGCGGGCTCACGCGCGGGCGGGCGCAGTGTCCCCAGTCTCCCGGGATCCCCGATCGCTACTTTTATTTATTTATTTATTTTTAACATAGAAGGGTGCGTGTTTGGGACCGCAGGGGAAGGGATAGAGAAGCGAGAAGAAGGTGACCAAATACTGAGTGGTTAATGTGAGTCGTCCCGAATTATACAGTACTTGTACTTTGTATAATTGGCGCGCGCGCGCGCGCGGGCGCACACCCCCCCCCAACCCGCCTGTCTTTTCTAGGTGGGAGTTGAGTGGTCATTTACAATTAGTCGCCCCTTTTTGCATCCCAATCCCTTTCCCTGGGGGTGAAAGGTGCAAACAATAACCCGGACCCGCAGATCTTGCGCCCGGACTGTTTCTAAACTCCTTACCCTGGAGCATACACGTTGTTATTGGGAGACCCACACCATCTGCCTTTATATATTTTGAAAACAACTTGTTTAATAAAACATCTTATATATTTCATTTGTTTTTAGAAGTTGGTGATCAGGAAACAAAACACACGTAAATAAATTATGCATGGGATAAATTAGAACAAAGCACGGAGACACATCCAGCCGAGGGATGGACGGAGCAGGGAGGAGGGGAGGAGGGAGCATGGTTTGGAGCGCTATGTTTCTATCCTCGTGTGTCCCTCCTGACAATGAAGCGGAGCTCAACGACATTAGCATTTTCTCTGTGTGCTTACAGAGTCTCTTTCCCCTCTCCTTAAAAAAAAAAAAAAAAAAAGCCAGCAGCAGGGACGCCCCCTACAGAAACTGGTCACACAAAGGTTCCCTCCAGGACTGGGGGATCAAGTACTGGTAGTTACCCTGCCGGGAGGAAGCAAGCTCAGGTTTCATATATCACCTATGTAGGGCTCTCGCTACTGGGCACAGACTATTTTTCATTATACCAGGTTTTTCCACGTGCGAATTCAATAATTCAGTTAGCTGAGGGTAACTGGATGGCACAATTTGGATCTCTTCGCTTTGAGGTCCTCCTTGCGGTCCCAAGCTCCTGAAGTCACCTTGCCTTTCTTCGCAGTTTGGCTTTCTTCCTGGCTGCCTTTGATCTCCCTTCAACTCCCTTTCTTTTCCTCCTGGTTGTACCCTTCAGCCCCTTTCTGTCTGAACTGACAGCCCGACTTCTCTCTCTGTTGTTGCCTTTAACATCTTATTACTGCCCAACAGGGTGTTAGAGGCAAAAACAGGAGCCCCCCGAACTGATCAGACCACAAAGGGGACACGGCAGGTGGCCCCACAGGCAAGCAGACACATCTGGACAAGTAGAATTTAAAAGCACTGTTGGACATGTATGATGTGCAAATGCATATTACTCACTATTTAATTATTTAATTTAGCAGCTACAGCGTGTGAGTGAAGATGTGTGACAGGCATCTCCATTTCTTACACACACTAGCACATACATGTGGTAATTTGAACACACGTAGGTAACGTAAATACGGATTTGATCAAGGTTTGTGTGTAAATTAGACAACATGTGTTCTGGTTGATTTCTACAGACCTGAATGCTTTTAATGTAAGTTCTAATCTTAATATTTTAGTTTAAGTAAATCATCTTCCCCCTAGTCTGCAGGCACACTTTAAACAATTTAATTCTTTTAGTAAGTTATAAAAACTGTGGCTTCTATGCACTTAACTGGGAACGTCTGCCACCTTCTGCCAGACTTGATTATGTACATATGTATCTATTATTATAACTGTCTGCTTAGAAAAGAGTAACTGTTATCGTTATTTAATTATTCCAGATAAACTCATAGGGCTTTACCTTGAATTAAATGTCTGTTTGTACAGAATGAGACAAGTAAGCTATGTGGTCATTCTTACAACTGTAAATATACAGATAATTGCATCAGAACTTTCTTTTGTAAGGAGTTACTCTTGGAGGATTGGTTACTATCCCTGTCATAAAAGACACAACTCAGAGAAGTAAATATATTTACTTAGCTAAGGTCACACAGTAGGTCATATATACAGACGGACCTTAAATCTTTATCTCTCTATCCGGTCTCTCATCTGGATGCAGTGTATTCTAATCTAAAGTGGCTTTTGTGCATGTGAAAGTTAGAAACCAGACCTCACTCTTGCGTGGCAGCCAGTTAGGCTATCACAGAGGAAGGGATGGGGGGCCACATTCCTGCTCCTAATCTCCTCTTGACTATTTCTGTTGGGGTGGGGGTTGTAGATAGGTATTAAGTGGAGCGCATGGGGTTGAGACTTTGTGAACTTGTAGCCTTTTATGGACATTATTGAAGGCCTTTATGAAAAAGGCCCTAAGATATGTTTAGCCAACAGATGCCTAAGGATCACCTCCATCTGCTTTGGCTGCCACTGTAAAAAAAGTCTAAATTCTCCAAACTATTAACACGCATTGTTTTTTGGTGATGTCTAGTTTTTTGTTTTGTTTTGTTTTTGTTTTTGTTTTTCCTCCGGTACCAGGAATCGAACTCACAACCTTGCACTTCCCAGGCAGGCGCTTTGCTGCTGAGCTAAATCCCCAGCCCCTGATGTCTAGTTTCATTGAGATACCTGTAAAGGAGATTAATTTCTGCCTCAACCCAAGTGGAGGCATCCTCTTAGTGTAAACCTCTGAAAATAGCCTGGCCTGTGGACCTCCTGAGGACGCCTGAGGTTGCCAGTGGACTGGGAACTGCTCAGACCCATAGGGTGGCCTAAAATTCAGAGGCAAGTTAGTTGGAGATTTCTTATCCTCCTCTGAAGTTTCAGAATCTCACAGGTAGCTGGAATTTGGATACATTTAAGAAAGACCACAATATCCAAAGCTACTTTAGAGCCATCTGCTCAGATCAATGCAAAAAATAAAATGCCATGGGCATGTTTTGTGCACACACAGGAAAAAAGAGTAGAAACTGAGGCTGGTGTTTCAGTTTTCAAAGTGCAGTCATGCTGATTGTAGTGGTGGTGGGGGTTAGGTCATAAAAAGGCACAGAATCCAGGTCTGTTTATTATCCCAACCTCTGCAAAGTAACTTTTGTGGTTTTTGAGTGTTTTGAAAGTCACTAGAAGACAAGAAATGTA